CCAGGTTTTGTGAAGTATCGCGAAGTAAAGGGAACATCACATGATAACCTAAGGTTCACTCGAATATCATTCGTGAGGATTTCGGTATGGTGAGCCCGGACGTCCACGGTCCGGTTGCCGGTTATTGAACGAACGATTTCGTTCATGTCTATGAGTTATCGAACCTACAGGATCACAAGCTGAAGGCAATCATGATATGTTGACCGTTAGTAGTACGGGAGTCATGAATATATATTTGTGGAATTATTTCATGAATATTCGGAATAGTTCCGAGAGGATCCGGAAGCGTTTCAGGGTCACCAGAGGGTTTCAATGAATATTGGGTAATACCGGGTATTACCTATATATTATATATAGGTGGAAAGTGTTTCCGGAGATGTTAAAAAAATATGAAGTGGTCTAGAGGTATTTATAACACTTTATATTTAATTTAAATATCAATGGGCCTTAAAAGGCCAAGAGGTGCAAAGAGTTATGGGCCACATAGGCCCATAAGGAAGTGGTGCCCCCCTTTCCTTATGGGGGGTGGACTAGGGGAGGAGCCAAAATCCTCCCCCATGGCCGGTGCCCCAAGGGGGGGCTTGGTGGCTGCCCTCTCCTCCTCCTCCAACCTATATATATACTAGGGTGTTTTTTGCTCTATGGAAGATACAAGTTTTAGAGCCCCCTCTAGTTCTTCTAGTTCTAGTTGGTCCTAGTTGACTAACTAGAACTAGTCTAATCCTCTTGTCCTCACAATTAGAAGCCTAGTGTGATTCTAATCTCCTCCCTCTAATTCTTCGGCGATGATTAGCTCTGGACGAGGAAGCGTTGTCGGATCGTGAAGGTTGCATGATTGCAACCAAGTAGAGAGGTCGTGCTTTCAGTCTTCGGTTCGAGGGATTGTTCGTGGGTGGTACGAGGGATCGTACATCGACGGTTCAAGGGATTCCAAGTATGATCTACACCAACAAGTTCTTCTTTTACCACAACCTGGTGACGGTAACGATCATGATCCCAACCCGTTATGCATCTTCATATTGATTTGGGTGATCGCAGGCATGATTTTTTTTGTTTTCTACTACGCTTCTCAACAAACAGGGCACGTGGAAGTTTCCAGGGCGGAAATCTAGGCATTGTGCCCCACTTTCCCAACTAGGCGCGGCGTAACCGCTTCCACGCGCGCACATGAATATTCAAACCGCGAGATTTCCACTACGAATCGACCCGCTTGATCGCTTATGATTCCTTTCCTAAGGAACACTCATCGGTCCGACCGACCGCCCTTCGAGGGTTACCGTGCACTCGAACACGTAATCAAGCCGACTGAAGTCATCTTAAGGATTGCAATGTGATGAGCTCGACACCCCTCTACGGGTTAACTTGGCCCTTCTTCTAGGCTCCAAGGTGCGTGTCTCATAAACTTGGACTTGGAGATAGCCTACGCGGGCGTTCCCCCGGGATAATGAGTGGCATCTCTCCAGAGAATCAGCCCACACGCCTGCATTGTCACTCGAGTTTCATGACATGTCCGCATTTAGACCTCTAGTCTATCTCTCTCGAGAGACATACGAATGCCACCAAGTTTTTCCCAGCGGTCAATATTACCTGATCGGTCAGGAAACTCTTAGTCCAAAATCCACCGCGATTTTAGTCAGGTCACGATATGTTATAACTTGATGACGGATTCCAAGTGCCCCTGAAGCACTCGACCCGAAGCAAGAGTTCATCCAATTCGTCCTACGAAACCTCAACCGATTCGGGGGCTAATGATGGGGTCACCTACTAAGGGTAGGGTCATAGACCTGACATCTAGGGCCCACCTAGGACCCCACACCATCATTGGGAGGTCTCCGGACCATAGGCGCATTCAGATGAGCCTTCCAAGGTATCCACTCGGATACTGTCCAGCCACTCGGATGTCTTCCCACCAGTTAGCCTCACCAGCACCACCCGGACAAACGAGGCGGATAGACGACGTGGGAGCTGCAATGGTCGGGAGGCTTAACGTTGGACTTCAAGTGTAGTTATAACGACAGTTACTAGTAACGCCTATAGTCACTTCCCCTCTTATCTCCCCTTGTAATGTAGCATTAATGAGGGCGGGCGCACTCTATATAAGCCCCCTCCAACGCCATGACAAGGGTTGGCAACTTACTGTAGTCTTATATCCCAAGAGAAAACAGAAGCCCCGGGCACAAGATGTAGGACTATTACCTCTCTGAGAGGGGCCTGAACTCGCTAAATTCGAGTGTTACACATGTGTCGTAGGTAGGTTCCGCCCCTATTCGTACCCCTAGTACTCACTGTTAGATTTGTTGCCCCGACACCCACCTATGGCAACCACCGCCCTACATCGACCTTACAATGGACGACGATGGTGATGACAACCCTAAAACTAGTTTTTATGTTTTTTCAATTTCAAGTTTAGTTTGAATGTGTGGCCTTAAGACTTTGTGGATGTTTATGTAATATATATCATTTTTAGAATATTTGCGATGACTATTTGGGTCAAAAATTCAAAAGTCCAAAAGCAAAAAAAAATGATATTCGATGGTCAATTGGGCACACTGACGCCTAGATGACCACATCCACATGCGCATGTCTGTTTGCCGACGCAAAATAGACACAATCCATGCAAAATGGATGTGTGTTTGCTCCTGTGCATTGGAGTTGGCCTAAGCAATAAGGGCATCTCCAACACCGACCCTCAGACCGCCCGCATCCATCAGGACCGGACTACGCGAACCGTGGAAGCCATCCAACGCAGGCCCATATCGGTCTACCGAGCGGTCTGGACATATTTTCTCTCGCAAATTGGATATAAAGTGGGGGGAGTTTTGCGGGAGTCCGGATAGCAAACACGTAGGACTCCGACACCCCCAGTCCACCCAACCCTTCCTGGTCCCATTTCCTACCACTTCGTCTCTTCTCCCCCTTGCTTTGCATCCGCACTCTCCACCTCCGCCACCGCCGCTATATGTCTTCGGCTGCCATAAAGCATTACCGAACGTCCGCAACCGGCACTGACGCGCCCGCTTGCCTCTATGACGACGCTGTCCACCTTGGAGCCGTTTGTAGCCAGGTACACTCCGCCCCCTTTAGACGACCTTCATGGCGGACATCACGCTCAGCAGGGTCCGGTCAAATGCCTTTGAGCTTATTTTCAAACGCTATGTCGTTTTTTAGAGTACGAAGCATGGCGAGCTAGTCGATAATGGAGGATGAGTTGTTGTGCGATGCGTGGTTGGCCGTATCCGTGGATTTCGTAGGCAAGAGCAAAGAGGGACCTTCTGGCAGCAAGTGCATGAATTGTTTCATGCAGGAAAGCATATTGCACCCTAGAACATGTACATCATTCAACAAACGCAATGTGAGGTCGTCATCGTATCACATGTACGCTATCTAGACCAGCGTCACCGAGCTTTGTAACGTGGTTCGTCAGTTGGAGACAAGGTGTCTATTGCACGCGACAAAGGACGAGATCGTAAATTTTGCTTCCTCTTGCTCAACTTGTTGATTGATTCATTCACTTAATGTTGATCTACACATTATGTAATCCGCACGCTGCCATGATGTACCACATGACAAATGGATGATCATTTACGTACACACACTGTTGGATGATGCTGAAGGAGGGGTATGCGTGAGAGGGCATGATCCGTTGATGAAAAACTTGTCGGACATCCGGTTAATCTAGTTGAATTTGAGATATTGTTGTGTTAGACTTAATTTGTATGCTATGTATGGATGATTTGTATTATTTTTTATCCAAACTTTGAAGAGTATCATCCAGTTTGTATGAATCTCGTCCGATTTATTTTAATATGGTTGAAATGTATGTGCTCAGCGTTTGATGACAACCTTCCGTACGTGTGTCCGCAGACTGGTGCCGTGTTGGATAGACGTGGGAACTGCAGGTCGCGGTTTGACATGCCCTAAGGCCTTCCACTATGTAGGCCAAAAGAGGTGCCAAATCTATTTTTGCGCAATTTGGCACCGATGCCCTCCATAGCCCATGCGGTGCTATAAAAAATATTGTGGAACCGGAGCAAGTGCTGGCACCGATGCCCACTTCCTGCATGACAATAAAATACATTAAACTGTGCACCGATGCCCACTTCCAGCGCAAAGGATCGAGGAGGAGGTTGGCTTGCTCGATTTCTTTATGTATGTGCGGGTCCCGCTTTTCTATTGGCTGCAACCCAACGGTGTGAGGGCGGTGCCAAATTTTCTCCTGAGGGCATCGATGCCCAATCTACCATATTTTAATGCACCAGGCACAGGTCACATAGTAGAGGGCCTAAGCACCCAAGACAGGAAAAATAAATAAGACAGAGCTGCCCTCCCGCGCAGAATTACTGCACTGCCCCCGACATCAATCTCACGGGGGAAACCTGCCGCCGGCAACTCATATTCTCGGTCCGCCGCCGGCTTCCCATCTGCGCCCCCGCGCAGCTCGTGGGCAAGGAGGGGGTTCGATCCAATCTTTCTTTCCTTTTCCTCCTGAGTCCTGAACTACCAACGCGGCTGTAAATCTCTGCCATCGCCGTCCGCGTTCTTCCTCGTCGCAACATCGTGGCCCTCCGCAATATTTGCCCAGTGGGTTTTAAGGTACGAGCTTGTTTTTTCATCCCGTTATTAGTTAAGCCCGTCGGCCTCGACAATTTCTGCAGCTGGCACACCATCCAGATCCGCCCCTGATTGATAGGATTATCCAAAAGTTACTCCTAATTAGAGTTTAATTTTTCACCCCAAAATTGATCTTTTAAGTCCTCCCCTGGCTCTGTCAAAGTTTTGTTCAATTTGTGTAGTACTAATTGAAAATCTGAGAGAAACTGCACAACTGCTAACAAATTTGTATGAAAAGAATAAAAATGGAAAGAACGACTTGTGCTCTGTGTGCCATGTTTTGGGCTTTTGGCATCCCACTTGATATTCACTACTGTCTACTCTTTGGGCATAGCAGGTCAAAGACCAGAGTATAAAATAAAGGTGGGGTACTGTTAATATTTCATAGAATGGAGTCCTTGTGGAAGCTGTCCTATTTGCTTGAGCCGGCGTCACTTGCCCTCATCGTGACGGCTGTTTCAGTTGCCTACGCATCAGCATCGCGTGCTCTGGACCATGGCAAGGAGATGGAGAGGAACTTGGACTTCTCGGAGGCATCCATCACACTTGATCGGTCGCAGGCTCTCATGATCCCCCTTGCAAGCTCATGCAGCCTACTGCTGATGTTCTATCTGTTTTCATCTGTATCGCACCTCGTCACCGCGTTTACCGCCGGAGCCTCTGTGATGGCGCTCTTCTTCTGTCTGTCTCCGTCTATCGCCTACGCCAAGTCGCAGCTCAATCTAATGGATCCTTTCGTGTCGAGGTGCTGTTCCAAGTCATTTACCCGGTTGCAAGGATTGCTATTGACTTTCTGCATAAGCACGGTGGCAGTGTGGCTGGTAACAGGGCATTGGTTGCTAAATAACGTACTTGGGATTTCCATATGCATAGCATTTGTCAGTCATGTGAGGCTTCCCAACATAAAGATTTGTTCGTTGCTTCTCGTCTGTCTGTTTGTCTATGATGTTTTCTGGGTCTTCTTCTCCGAGAGGTTTTTCGGAGCAAATGTTATGGTTTCTGTTGCCACTCAGAAGGCATCTAACCCAGTTCACACAGTAGCAAACAAGCTTAGCCTGCCTGGGTTGCAGTTGATTACGAAGAAGATAGAGCTTCCGGTGAAGCTTGTCTTCCCTAGGAATTTGTTGGGCGGGATTTTTCCAGGAAGCACTCCTGGTGACTACATGATGCTTGGCCTTGGAGACATGGTAAGTTACTTATGTTACAATTTTTCCGTCCAGGCAAACTTGGTGTTTTGATCCTTTTAGTGCCACCGATCCAAATATGATTTCGTGTTCATTCTTTAATCCTGCCTTAAAATAGTACTCATAGCCATTGTATTCAAAGGTTTCAAACTTGTTTTTGGTTACTCTTTCTTCCTGTCTTAATTCACTAACTTGGTTTTGTTTTCTACAATAAGTGACTTGCCAAATTAAATGTGGGCTGTTGATTATGTGCATATCGTTTTGGCTACATGGAACTGAAGATGTAGGAATTTGATGGTGAATCATTCCTGAACATAATAATAGGAGCCTTATAGGACTACGAATATTTTCAGTGTGAATTGAGTTACGTTCTATACATTTTTGGCTTCTCCTAGGTCATAATTTATTAAGGAAGCAAGCTAAACACACGCACTCCTTGATCAGTTTTGTCGAAAGTTTTGTTGAGCACATGATGGAGTGAAATGTGTCATTAGTTCATTAACTCAAACTGATTCATGCTTTAGGCCATCAACTCGGAATTGATCAATTTAGACCATAAACTTGTTAATTTGATGATTTGATCAAATAAGGCCAAAAGTGATCCGGGAGGGGAAAAACCAGCCATGTGCCTGCCATGTCAGCCTACTTTAGACCGCTCACAAATTGACTCATTTTTACAGTTTTTTTTTTGCAAAAGCGCCAACCTAATCCGATATAGGGAAAATAAAATAAAATGCCGCGTGTTTCATGGGACTTGAACCACTAGAACATTAAGAGCTTTGTGCACAAAGATGCAGCGGACAAGATATATCAGGACACAAGGATACAGTTGATTGTTTCGAAAGTGTGTTTGAAAAATTATATAAAGCCCATGGTGTGTTCACTAAAACTCATAGCCGCGCCCTAAGGGTAAGGGGGGACACATGCTGACCACTAGGATGCCAAGTATTTTGTGTATGTAGAGGGTTACATGATATACATACGATCAATGGATTCTGCTGCCATGGCAGCCGATTCTGCTGCCACAGCAGCCGATCATGCTTACTTAATGTCAGCCTGACTGGAACAATAGGATCTACAACAGAAGGAAACATCCATCGAAAGAGAAAGCAACGATCGCAACAGAAGGAAATTGATCGCCCGATTGGATTCGGTCGCCCCCTTGCAAAAAAATAATAAATAATAAATAAATCTAAAAACCAGTGTGCCACATTAATATATTTTTCAAGAAAACGCAAAGGACTCTTTGCGTTTCATTTCACTGAAAAGATGAGAAGATACAATCCTCCTAGGAGGTGGTGGTTACATGGATTGGCAACCTATCAGTGGACATCCCAGTTGGTGGGGAGGACTACCCTGAGACCCAAAGCGCCAGCTTGTGCCCAACATTTGGCTTCGGCCTTAATCCTATCTACGAGTGCGGTAACCGAGGGGCACGCATTGTCGAAGACGCACTCGTTGCGTTGTTTTCAAATCATCCAAGGGACGAGCATGGCGATAGATTGCAGGCCTTTCCGTAGCGCATGTGGGGTCTGCCCTTTCATTCGTTGCCACCAGTCCGTGAGGGTGGGCTCATTGCTTGGCGGTTGAGAAGGTATCCTCGCCCAAGCCAGCACGTCGTGCCAGACCTGCCGCGTAAACGGGCATTCCAGGAGCAGGTGCCACACTCTGGGGCCTGATCACAGAGGAGGCATCGTGGATGGTGCTGTAGGCCGCGACGGGCTAGTCTCTCCGCCGTCCAGCACCGGTCCTGGCTAGCCAACCAGTGAAAGAAATGTACACGGCACGGTGCCTAGCTCTTCCAGGTAAGCTTCCAGGAGGGGCATTTCATGGATCCATCGAAGGTTGCGGCGTAGCATGACCGTGCCGTGTAGTTGCCGCTAGCCGTCCATCTTCAGAGCATTCGGTCGGGCCGGTTTGATAGGCTGATCTGCTGCACGGCTTGCCACAGTCTGAGATATTGGCCAATCTCGTGGATCCCTATCACTCCTTGAATGTCACGAGCCCAAGCATTGCCCGCTAGGCCTGCGGCCACCGTTGTCAACTTGCGTTGCCGGTTGGGAATGCATTGGTAGAGTGCCGGCGCGAGCTCCCGCACGGACTGGCCGTTGAGCCATCGGTCATCCCAGAACAATGCCGTCTGTCCATCGCCAAGCTCCATGGTCGTCGATGCGAAGGACAACGCGCGCTCCTCGCGGGAAAACTGGAGGTCGAGGCCTCGCCATGCGCGGTCGTCGTCCGTGTGGGAGAACCACATCCAGCGCAGGCGCAGCGCTAGGCCGGCACGCTCCAGGTCCTGGACCCCGAGCCCGCCGTACTCGAGCGGGCGGCACACACGTCGCCAGTTGACGTGGCAGTGTCCGCCATTAGCAGCAGCGCACCCAGCCCACAAGAAGCCGCGCTGGATCTTTTCGAGTTGTCTCAAGGTCTTCTTGGGCGGCGCGAACGCGAGCAGCTGATGTATCGGGATCGCGGCGAGCACCGATTTGACCAAAGCCAGCCGCCCGGTTTTGTTCATGAGCCATGCCTTCCATGTGGGGAGCCGAGCGGCCACCGAGTCGACGAGGGGTTGTAGTTGGGCAGCTGAGGGGCGGCGTAGCGTGAGAGGGATGCCAAGATAAGTAATGGGTAGCTCCGCTTTCGCGCATCCCACCTGATCAATTGCTGCATCCGCCTCGGGGTCGCCATTGAAAACGGTGGCGGAGCTTTTGGCATAGTTGACTCGGAGGCCGCTAGCTTCACTGAATGTGGCCAGGATCGCGCGGACGGCCTCCACGTCGTCTTGCGTGGCGTGGCAGAATAGCATCACGTCGTCGGCGTACAAGGATATGGCCGGAATGTCTCGTCGGGGGTGCAGCCGCTGCAGTATGCCGGCGTCGTGGGCGCGGCTGATTAGACGTCCAAGGATGTCCACGGCGAGCACGAAGAGCTGCAGAGAAACGGGGTCTCCCTGGCGCAGCCCGCAGCGATGCCACACTGGCGGTCCCGGCTCACCATTGATCATGATCCGGGTGCTCGAAGACGATAGCAAGATCGCGAGCCACTCCCTGAAGCGCGGTCCGAATCCGTATTGGCCAAGAGCCTCAAACAGGAAGGGCCATGATAGGGAGTCGAAGGCGCGCGTTAGGTCGAGCTTGAGCATCGCTCTCGGAGCCCCAAGTTGGTGCGGCAGCTTCATTGATTGCCGGACGAGGACAAAGTTGTCGTGCATGCTCCGTCCCGGGATGAAAGCGTTCTGGTTGCGGCTGACCATGTTTCCTAGTCTGGGCGCTAGGCGGAGCGATAGCACCTTCGCGAAGATCTTCGCCACAAGGTGAATGAGGCATATTGGCCGATAGTCGCGTAGTTGGCACGCATCTGCCCGCTTTGGGAGTAATGTTAAGAGGGCCTGGTTGAGCTTGCTGAACCCACGACCGCGCAGCTCAAAGAGCTGCTGGAAGACGTCGAAAAAGTCTTGCTTGATGATGCTCCAGTAGGCCCGCAAGAATCCGCGGTAAATCCGTCCGGCCCCGGCGCCTTGCGAGCCGGGAGGCGCTTGACGGCGTCCCAAATCTCCTCCGGGCTGAATGGTGCCTCGAGGTCAGTCAGGTCATGGGGCTCGATGATCTGCGATAGATCCAGCGTGTGGTTGCGGGCGACGGGGGAGCCAAGGAGCTCATCAAAGTACGTGAAGGCCGCTTGGGCCATTCCCTCCTGATCGGTGATCACTTGTCCGTCGACCACAATGCGGAATATGTGATTCTTCTGTCGGCGGAATGAACATTGCCGGTGGAAGAAGGCTGTGTTAGCATCGCCGTCTTTGAGCATGGTGATCCGCGCCCGTTGCCTCGCAATCGTGCGTTCGAGAGAAGCCAGCCCCAAGTATGAGATCTTGAGCTGTTTTCGCAGCCAATCTTCCGGGGGGGAGAGCGCGCGGTCTTCTTGGGCCTTGTCAAAGCGCGATATGAGCTCGCGGGAAAAGGCCATCTTGTCACGAATGCAACCTTTGGACTTGGCGCTCCAGCTCGTCAGTGAGCGGGCCGTGCTCTGGAGGCGCAGCATGAGACGCCGGAAAGGGTCCGGGTCGTGCACCGATCCCCAAGCCGCCGCAACTGTGTCGTGGAATCCGTCAAGCCGCAACCAGAAATCCTCAAAATGGAACCTCCGATGTGCTGCATGCATGGGTGCGCAATCAAGGAGGAGCGGGCAATGGTCGGACACGACGGAGGCGAGGCATCTCAAGTGGCAGCCGCCATGCGCGTCCTCCCAGTCCGCGGTGCAAAACACGCGGTCCAGGTGCACCAGGGTGGGCGGAGTTTGCTCGTTGGACCACGTGAATCTTCTTCCATTGAGATATACCTCCTTGAGCGCGAGGTCGTTGATGAGGCGGCGGAATTTTCCCATCATGCGGCGGTTCAGGTTGCCGTTATTTTTGTCTTCGTCGTGTAGGATCAAGTTGAAGTCACCGCAAAGCATCCATGGCCCGGGGTAGTCCGCGCGTATATCGCGTATCTCCTGCAGGAAGGCGATCTTTTCCGCGTCCTCTTGGGGGCCGTAAACGACGGACATCCACCATGGCGTGCCACTGGCCGCGGCCACTCTTGCCGTGACGGCGTTCGCGGTGAACAGGGGGTCAGTGATCGACACGACCCTACTCTTCCACGCGAGCAGGATACCTCCCCTCGTGCCATTCGCCGGGAGGTACGTGTAGTCGTCAAACTCCGAACCGAGGGTATTGAGGACAACGGACGAGCACATCAAAGCCACTTTAGTTTCTTGTAGGCATACAATGGAGGCTCCGATGGTGTTAAGCAGCGATCTAACGGCATAGCGCCGGGCACGCGCGTTAAGGCCGCGCACATTCCATATAGCTATCTTGATGTCGTGATCCATGGGTGCACATGATCGACGGGGGTGGACATCACAATAGCCCTATGGCGAGCCGGCCAACCGAACGGTGGCCGTCGCAGCAGCCGCGGTAGAGAAGTCCGCGGGTAGTTCTCGGTCTACAAGGGCAGCGATGGCCGTGAGCACCGAGAGCGGGATTGGTGCCGCGAACATGTCGTCATACGCCTTCATCTCGGCAACGGTGATCCTCTGGTTGGTCCCGACAATCCCTAGCGTGCGGAGGATCTGAACTTGCGCATGACGCTCAGCAGTGGGTGGTGCAGCTGGCGAGACGGCGATGGTGGCCGATCGGCCACGTCTGGGCGAGAAGTTCAGCGGGCGGCGCGGTTTTTTCCCCGGGGTTGGCAAAGCCGCGGTAATGTGCTTCGTTGCGGCTGCGAGAAACTCGCCTAGAGTCCAAGTCTTCGGCATGCAGGGGCGTGCGCGAGATCGACGCAGCGTGATTGGCGGCGACGCGAACCTCCCCGGCGTCGGACGTGGGGAGCCATGTTGGGCTTCTGTCGGCATGGGGGCAACGAGACCCACGACGGCCTCTTGCGTGGTGGGCCGGGCTTGGGGCGTGGCCAGCCGTGACGCGGGCGTCGTTGGCACGGGATTGGGCGGTTGCGAGGCTGTCGGGGACAGCGCGCATGCCTCCGCGTGGGGCCCGGTGTGCAGGCAGTCGCCGTCACCAGGGCCCATCTCCCCAGACGCTGGCGTGGAGGGGTTGGTGCTTTGGCCCGACCGAGCCGCAGGATGGCCCACAGGCGTTGGCGGTGTATGAGGAACCGCGCTGACGGCGTCCAGATCCCGACAATGCATGGGATCAGGCGAGCCAGACGTGGCCCCCACGCGATCGTCCTCGGGCACGCCGTTCACAGCCGGATTCGAATCCCGCGCTGGTTCTGGTGAGTTTGCAACCAACGGGGGGTCGCCAGCTAGTGCCTGGCCCGCCACCACGCCCGCAACCGGGGCCGCAGTAGCCAAAGCAGTGCTACCAATAGGTGTGGTCGTCGTGGTCATGGGGACAACTGCGTCCCCGACAGTCTTATCCACGGGGCCCGCCTGCAAAGCGCCCCTTTGTGATCCTCTGCCTCTTCCTTTTCTGGCACGTTGACGAGGGGGGTGGGTCCCCTGCTGACCAGGCCACGATGCCATGCGAAGATCCTGTCCCAGTACGGACGGCGGCGCGCCCTCGCCGGCGGGAGCAGGCCAAGCATGCGACACGGCGAGTCTGTCCACACGTCCGGGCCGGTTTTGTGCCCGCCACAGCGCGTCGTCCATCGCCATGCCATCAGCGTGGCCGGGCGGCGCGGCGTCCGTACGTCGGCGCTTGCGGCCCCGGCGGCGCGCTCTACCTTGGCCGGGTCCTGGTGCGCGGTTGCGGTTGTCGTGGGCACCGCCGTGCGCACCATCCCCACCCTGTCCCGTTCCATGCTGGCCGCGGAGGACTGGAGCACTAGCTGGCTCAACGCGGGCCACAGCAATGGCAATGGGGTAAGTGAGGGTCCTGATGGTGGGCTTGTCGGAGCTCAGGCGCGCGGGGATCTGCTCGACGATCTCCAGAACGGCGGCGCGGCGGATGCTGTCGGGGTGGTGTGTGCGCGCGGCCAGCTTGAACGTCGCAAGGTTGGCCCTGGAGCGCGTCTTGGGGTGAAGGCGCTCTATCCAGCAGCTCGTGCCCAGGACGTGCTCGGCGGTGGACAGGTGCCAAGCCTGCGCCGGAACGCCGTGGAGCTCCAGCTCGACGCGGTACTCGAAGTCGTCGGAGCCGGCGTGAGATAGTTTGCTCCATGGCCTGAGGGAGAGCGAGAATCGCGGCGAGTTGATGAAGTGCTCTCCGTCGAGGCGGCGCTTGGTGGTATGGGAGCTGAAGAGGATTAAGAAGTCCTCGGGGTGGTGCTCATGCACGGTGAAGTCGCCGTCGACCAGCTCAAACGTGTTGATGAGCACATCGGAGACCTCAGCGCCGGACACACGTGGTCGGTTGCCGGTGATGGAGGCGGCCATGGCGCGGCTAAGGACGTCCTCCGCCTCCTCCATCTTGATGGAGTGGGCCATGATCACCCGCACGGGCTCAGGCTCCGGCGCGCGAGGGGGGGGCGCCGTGACCAGGGCGGTCACCAGCGGCAAGGGTG